TATTCCTGCGCTTGATTGAGCGCCGAACGGATATGGCCACAAAATCGAAGATATCCGGCAGCCCAAACATTCGGACGGACAGCCAGGCAGACAGTTGTAAAATATTTGTTGGCCCAGTGTGTTGTGTGTGAACTTTAAAGTTTAAAACTTCCTCATTTTTTGTACCCGCGCTGAAAGTTCTTTGTTTCTCAACTCTCTTTCAACGGACGCACATTAATCGCGCATACGCCATGTAGTACGTCAGCAATTATAGCCAAAATAAAGGACAATAATGAAACGAAAATGTGAATTTCGCAGTGCTATCGATCAATCAACATTCGTGCATAGATATTACATTCTCCAAATCGATAGAGCTGTAATTATTGGAATGCCATGTCTACAGCCAGCCAGCAGTAGCGAACTATCGAGAGATTAGAGGAAGGAAACCATAATAAGCCAACAATGCTGAATAGAATGCAGATACAAATATAGAAAATGCCCTCAAACTGGTCCAATGGCTCTTAGACAACTCAGCACCATTTCTTCTTGTTTGTGAGGATGCTTAAAACTGCTGAATTTTTGGCTTAACAGCTTTGCTCTACTTTTTTTTAGGGCCAATTGAGCAGACAATTTTCATTGTTAGCGAATGCATGTCATAATAAACTAAATTATCCACTAAAGACGTATGAAATAACTGTATCCATTTACTGTTTGGTAAGAAAAAATGGACCTTCAATATGTCTAATGCAAACTTAGCTCTAGAACAAAATAAATAATTTAAATACAGTTTTAACAAAGCAAACGTAAATATAGGATTACAACGTTACTTTCGAATTAATAAGTCGTTAAACGCTTTTCTTTTTAAAAATAGATGGACAGACAGACAATGAAACAAATGTTAATCTTGCTGACCATAACATATCCATCAAGAGAACTATAAGCAATATTAATAAAAGAAACTAGTAAGAGCTATCTTGTTGCGATTGGACCGGCAAACAATTTGTTCAAACATGAAAAGTGAATGGAAACAAATTTTTTTAGCATGTTTTTATTATTTGCAGTCGTTGAGCTAAGTTTTTTTTTTATATTTCCTTTGTACTCCACTTGGGAGCTTAGGGCTACTACAAGGACATTTTTTTTCCAATCTTAACACTCTCTATTTCTAGCCGTCTGTCTGGCTGTGTCCCATTTGGTGTTGTTGTGTCTGGGAGAATTCCTGAAGGGTGCATCCGCCGTCAGGTTGCCGTCTTTTTTAGGTCTGCCGATCCCGTCTGCTTCCTTGGGGGTTCCAGCGCCATCCTTGACATCAGACATCGAAGTAGTGGGAGTCCTTTTTGGATTCAGTTGTCTTGTAGTAGTTTCCATAATCATGTAGTTGTCAGTCGACCTGGTGATTGGCCAGATGCGACTTATCCCAGTGGTGGGGCTGCCACCTGTCGCCGCCGGGGAGAGACGTCTTGGGGGGTTTAACTATTGTGCAGTCCAGATAGCGTGGATGGATGTGTTTTTGGGTGGATAAATGACCACGACGTTGAAGGCATGAGCTTAGGAAAGTTTTTTCGAGAGGAGAAAATTTAGGTCATGCTCTCGCCATGAGTGGGGCTCGAACCCACGACCTCTTGTTTGGTGTGCGCATGCGCTATCCACTACGCCACCGAGACCGAGCTAAGTAGTTAGAAAAAAAACATAAATATCTAAAATTTAATTGAAATGTTTGCAAGACAAATGCAACGGTAAATAGCAGAAGAAACAATAACAAAAGCACGTTTTCTTTATTCTCTCACTGAAGTAGTGAAGAAGAAGACAGTCTTCTGCGAGCAAAGCACGAGCTATGGCGAGATCAGGGAATCAGCTGATAGGGTTGCCAGAGCTGCTGCGCACATTCTTATTCTACTACACGTCTTGAATTCATATTTAGACATAACAGGAGAGCAGGAGAGCTCAAGCATTCAGTGAAATGTTTTTTTTTTATTATTTCCATGCACTCCTAAAAAAACTCACTTGGACTTTATTTTGTGATGTGTTTGTTTTGTTAAGTGTTTGCAGTGCCGTTTCAGTGCTACTGTCATGGGTTCACACATTCGTGCTGTGGTTGTTCTTGTGTTTTGCTGTAGTAGTTGCACATATTCCTGCGTGTTCTGCCAGTGTGCGAGTATAGTATAGTAAGACTAAATTACATACTCGGCCTTGCCATGCAGAATTCTGCCACTGCCCCCACCTATCCACCTGCCGACCTGCCGTTGTTGCCTTTCATCCTGCGCGTTTCGCTTCATTGAAATCGTATGTATGTATATGTATATATATGTTCCGTATATACATATGTATGTATGTATATATACTTATACCGATATACATACATATGTATGCAGGTACACATGTATATGTATGTTGTGTGTAAGTGTGCGTGATAACTTGCGGCAGTTGGGTTTTGTGATTACTATTGTTGTTGTTGCTGCTGTTGTTGCTGCTGTTGCTGTTGCTGTTGTAGTTGCAGTTGCAACGCAATTTGCGCCTTAATTGAAACATTAAAATGTGATAAGTGCTGGTTTAAAAGTTGCATGCATGCAATTTTTCCCCTTTCATTAAATGCCGCCGCCCATAATGCTGCCCGTTCCGTGCTGTGTTTGTTGTTGTTGCCACTGCACTCTCAGCGATCTGGGCAGACGTGCAAGCAACTTGCCTGGCTCACCCAACATACATTGTACATATGTACATATTTACATATATACGAAAATATCATCATCATCTTCATCAACTTAAAGATTGTCATTTGCTTGCTGTACGATCTTCAATTTGAATTTGAATTGTTTGCTTAGCTCCCCCTCCTCTGAGTGCCACGCCCCTTAACCCTGCTGGCTGGCAAATTGTTTCTGTGATGGGTTTAGCAAGTCAAGTCAATATGCAATGCTTATTAATTTGTTTTCCTTAATTTTTTCTTTCGTTTGGTTTACCCATCTCCTGGGTTAATAAATTTGATTAATTATGCGCGCATTTTTGGCAGCCTTTTGAGTTTGACTTTTGAGGAAGTGGCGGCATCTTGGACCCGTTGACTTAATTAATCAAAATATGCGCGCGACATTATGTCAAACATTGACGAGCAAGAAGAAGAGGGCGAGAGCGACTATGACGACGACGACGACGTGATGACAGGGACGCCTTCCCAACCCGTTGCCCAGACACATGCCTTGGAATTTTCTTTTCAAAATTGATTTGCCAGTTGGCGGCAAGGTGTGCTCCTTTAAGCCTTTTAGTGTTGTTGGCTGTGCGGAGTGGGGGAGTAGAGGGTCATGACACGCATATGAAATTATTTTTCAATTATACTTTCCGCTGTTGCCTGCCACGCCCACACACATGCACGCACCTCACACCCCCATCCCAACCTCACACCAACCACTGCCCGGCCTCACTGTAAATGGCGTGTGTTTGTGACAAGTGCGCGGGCGTTTTTGTTGTTGTTGTTGTTATTATTATTTGTATTTGTTTAAAGGGGGTTACGGGTAATTGCCTTTGTATCCACGAAGGCGGCGCTGACAGGCGCAAGTCGGCCCAAAATATTAGCACTGTAAATCCTAGCAATCCATCCTTAACACAAATCATCATCCCTGTCCAAAGTGCGAAACACTTTTGACTTTTCGAAAAGTGTAATTGTGATTAGATTCCTAAATCGCGACTCTACCACACCTGTAACATTGAGAGTTGAATACAAACCTCCAATATCGTTAATAAACTGACTGTAAGAAGTTATCAGAAATCCGTCCCTTTCTTAAATTGTGTCTCTACAGTTTATTTTCTTTTTTATACCCTGTACCCAAAGGGTACAAGGGTATATTAGTTTAGTGCGAGTGCACATGGAACACACAGAAGGAGGCTTGGTAGACCCCACAAAGTATATATATTCTTGATCAGCATGACAAGCCGAGTCGATATAGCCATGTCCGTCTGTCCGTCTGTCCGTCTGTCCGTCTGTCTGTCCGTCTGTCTGTCCGTCTGTCTGTCTGTATGAACGCAAGGATCTCCGAAAGTATAAGAGCTAGAATAACCAAACTTGGTATACAGATTCTCCTGAGACCGAGAAAGGACGAGTTTGTTCATTTTTTCTGATCCACCCCCCCACTCCCCCCCTATTAATGATTTTCTATAACTCCCGTAATTCTTGGAATTTTGAACTAAAATTTGGTAGTCACATTAGGTTAGTAATTATATAACCGTATACCAAGTCTCATTATGATAGAATGATCGGAAAGAAAGTTATAGCCATATAACCAGGCTCAATGCACACATACATACATATGTACAAGTACACAAACACGCATAGACACGATTCTGATGTAATTGTAAATGTATGTATGCATGCATGGAATATTTTATATTTAATTAGTTAATATTTAGTTAATTAATTAAATTAATTTAGTTAATTAATTTAATTAAATTAATTAATTAATTTAATTACTTTTTTGTGGGGTGGTACAGGGTATTTAAGAGTTGAGCCTGCTCGACTTTAGCATTCCTTTCTTGTTTTTTTTAAAATAACAACCATGCCTGATTCTCTGGCAATTAAATAAAGAAAATTGAACTGAGACCTTAATCCTTAATCTGTTCAAAAAACACATTGTTTATTTCTATACTATATATCACTTTTTTTATGTTTGTGGGCTAGTACTCCAAACATTGCTTCTTTCTGGATAGGTAACTGCAAAAGTAATTTATGTGATTTCAAATACTGAGTCTGGATTGGAATATATTTTCCAATATAACTGGAAAAAAAGGAAAGAAGGAAGAAAAGGAAAAAAAACAATATACCATCTTTCTTTCTTTTATCGACCTCTCCACATCTGACAGCTTGTATTCCCTTTTCTTAATCTAGTACAAGTTATTATTAGTCTTTCCAATAATTCCGCCAAGGGAGCACATTTTAAAAATTACCCGAAAAATTATGCCGAAACTTTTTCTAGTGACTTCAAAAAAAAACCGGTATGCGTGTACTGATGCCGTCCTTTTTTTATTCTCTTCGTCTTTTTTAGAAACGGATCTGATAGGCGCGGCTGAATGGACGGGTTCTGCTGCCGCGTCGGGTGCCACCTACTCGGTGGGCGTGGGGGTGGGCACATCGCTGCCCTACCACGCCCACGCGCACGGCCACCACGGACACACGCATCATGGGGTACATCATCATACCGCCCATCACTTGCAGCACCATCCCAGCGCCACTGCGGTGGCTCTGCCGCCTCCACCGCCGCCGCCTGCTGCAGCACCCGTCCCCAATGCTGCTGCCGCTGCCATGAATCCTTATGGCAGTGCGATGGGGGCTTATGACACCACCACCTTGAGCGCCGCCGCCGATAACTACCACTTGCCCACAGTACTGCCCGATATGCATGGCTTCTGCGCCACCGCACCCACGGATCCGTATCAGACGGCAGCCGCTGCCAGTGGCTATGGTGGTGGTGGTAAGACGGATCTGGATACGTTAAATGCTGGCTATGGAACGGCCACGGCCTACAACAATGCCTGGTCGAATGGCTACAATAACTATCAGTATGGCAGTTGCTCGGCGACAGCGCAATATGGTGGTGCACATGCGGTGGCACCACCGCCACCACCACCGGTGGTGCTGTACCCTCAGCTCTATTCGACAGTCAATCAGAATCAGATCCATCTGCATCTGCACAGCAGCGAGAAGTTGGAGCAGTATCTGGGATCGGCGGATCAGCAGCTGACCATCAGCTCATTGGCCGGAAGCCGCTCCGGCATTGAGATTGGACTGGGTGCCACCGAGCAGGAGCAGGCACCAGCGGTTGTCGATCCGGCGGAGAGTAGCGCACAGAACTATCATCTGCATCATCACCACCATCAACATCCGCACGAGGCACAGCGCCAACAGCATCTGGAGGCGCAGCAGCAGCAACAACAACAACAGCAGCAGGGAGATGTAGGTGGGGATGCGCATGCGCCGCGGGACGAGGATGTGGGCGATCTGACGCAAGTCTGGCGTCCCTATTGACACAATTTTAACATTGTGGTTCCGCCGCCACCATCACAGTCGAGGCCTCCATCGCTCTATGGTGGGAGGCGCACCTATCTGCACATAGAACTGAACTAGAAAAGTTTTGACGTTCCCAAACGTTCTTTTTTTTTTGAATACTATATATGTATGTATATCTAACGGATAAGCTGGAATTTAGGCTCGCAAGCGCTGTAAATAATACTCTATTTGTAATGATAAAATGATGTTAATAATGCATCCGATTATTTATGAAACACATACCACATGTCCATATAGCTACCGAAATCCAATCCAGTATATCCCGGTATCCTTAGTATGTACACCTGCACTTATCCATATTATATATACCTAAAAAATCATATCTATGAGAGATAAACAATATAAATATACACTTTTTTTTCTTAGAATTAAGCCATTTTAGAGATAATACGCACAATTTCGGATCGTAAGCTATGCTATAATCCAATTGCATGTGTCGCGATTTCTGTTATGTATTTTGTTTAAACAAATCCAATGAGATGAAATAATGAAATGAAGACTATAAATAAAGTTATTTATTATAAAAAGAAAAACACGCTCGTTTTGTGGACTAGAAAGCGCTCGCAGAGCTGGAAGGCGGACGTGGAACAAACCGTCAAGTTGTCAAGCCTACAGTAACTTGGCCTATCCTCGACCGATTTTTGTGATAAAAGTCTTGTTGAGTTTCCTATGGCGCGCACTTTAAAATGGTGAGTATTTTTGGTGGTCCAACCCATTGTAACTCGGCATAGAACGCCATATTGAAGTTATTTTAAAGCGAACTTTAATGTGGTAGGTGTTCTGAAATCGAGTTAGAAGAGCCAAGCCACACTCATGTCTAAATTGATGGCAACTATCAAAGAAGAACAAAAACAAAGATCCAATGCGATTATGTAAAAATGTTAACCGCAATGGCAACAACTGCCAAATGCAGAGAAGCGAATGTTGAATGCATAAAAATAATGGCACTAACAAAACAACAGTTAATTATGCGCATATTTAAGATTAGGTGGAAATGCCAAAAACAATAGCACTTGCCACAAAGCTACTTGTAATTATGAAAAAAGGAGTGTGCAAGAGAGAGAGAGAGAGAGAGAGAAACAATTGCAAAAAGACAATTGCGAAAATCATGAATTTTGAATGAAACCTTAAAAACGCGGGTAAATAAATTATAAATTTTCAACAGCAACAACAACAACAACAACACCAGCAACAACCACAAAATACGCACAACAAAAGGAGGACGACGCGACTGGGCACTGGCTCTTGGACGCTAGGCCTAGAATGACTTTTCAGCGCCCCTGCCCCCTGTCCCGCCACTGGCATACTTGTACTTACATATGTATGTGCATAGATCGTGCTAGCTCTGCGGTTAAGGTGGCATAAATAAATTGAGCAGCAGCAGCTCTGCCGCTCTACAGCGACGCTGTAGTAGATGCAGCCGAAAGATACCCAAATGCGCTCCGCCAGTTGCATTCGGGTGTAGGTGACGCCATTTTGTTGACGCCTCGAACTCAAAAGTCGAGGCAAAAGGCAATTCAAGCCAAGCCAAGTCAAGCCAAAGACAAAACTAAAGACAGTAAAGCTGAACTACTATAAAGCCAAAGCGAGCGACAATCAATGCAATTACATACATATACTAAGTATCTGTGCGGGACTAGCGAATCGGGCTTTATCGCCAGTCAAGTGTTAAATTGAAAAAGACACGGACAGTTGCAAGTTGGCACAACAAGCGGCAACATGTCAAACATTTGCCGCCGGCTACAGAACTTGGCAAGCGGCACGGTTTCAAATTGAAACAAAACTGCAATGGAATGCCACAGAAACTCTAGCCGCACTCTAAAAAATCGCTAGTTACTTAAGCCAGCGCACATAACTGACAACTATAAAGGTAGTAAAGTCTAGAGGTCCATTCCTGATTCAATTTTATAACATACAAGTATGTACACTTCCCTGTCTGCCATTTATGTGTTATTTGTTATTTGTATCCATCCATCTGTAACAGAAGACGATCCTTAAGAGTAGAGTTAAGAGATTTATCAAGATCAGATTTTCAGATCAAAGATTGATTCAAAAAAAGATCAACTTATTAAAAAGGCATATCTACCATAGGACTACTACATATGCATGGCTTTTGGGCGTTTAAAGTTTTTGGCTTAATTAACTTATAAAATCCAATTCAAGTTCAACATTTTGTTACCCGAATAGGAAGAAGAGAATATTGTTGCTTTAATATGAAAATCTCTCCATCAATTATGCCATAATATGATCATTACAACATTGTATTTATAAATACACCTCATTCTGATTTTACACAGTAGATTAGTTCCAGAAAAAGACGTGTAAAAGAAAAACCGTGTAAAAAAAAAACATTGATTATATGTTATTTTGAATCGTGCTAAATGGAATAAAATCGGTTGCACGTTTATATATAATATTATATATACAATTTTTATTTTCCAACCGTGTTAAATCAAAACCGCGTTAAACCAAAACCGTGTAAAAAAAACACCGCATAAAAACAGAATTAGGTGTATAAAATTTGGATTAAAAGCAGATGAAATTTCACACTTTACTTTATAGCTTTTCTATGAGTTCAAAATACTCTATTCATACTCATCTTCTCTATGCCTTTCGCTTTTTGCCTCTCAACTGGATCAACTTATTGAAAAGGACAGTTCTATAAGAGATCTTATCGCTTAAAAATAATGTATACCAAATTTGTATTCAATCTGTTCGAACAAATTCCAAGGATGAATTTTGTCAGGGAGCAGTTTAGAAGAGGAGTAAGTAAAATAGTGGAGCATTCTACGCAATCTAATGGTATGCATTTTTTTTGTAGAGCGATTTCTGTCAGTGTAGGGTTCAGTTCCAATGCTCGGAACAATACGAGAAGCCAAATCCAAGCTCAACAGCAAAGAAAGTTAGTCGAGCCGAGCAAGCGCTCGAGCGTTAAAGGCGACGATAATGAAGAAGTCGATGACAATGAAGATGAGGAAGATGATGAAGAAGACGGCGGCACACATGCGCACCAAAACGGCTATAAGAAGCCTGACACAAGTCAGGCTTGCGCTCGCATTCATCCCCAGCTTAACAATAATAATAACAACAACAACAACAACAATGGCAACAGCAACAACACCGAGAGCAAGTCGTAAGTGATCCGGCTCGATCGGGCTGTAAATTCAATCACCTTGCGGTGAACGAGCGCCCAACAACTTTCTAGCAACAGAACTTTGTCAGCCAGCCAGCCAGCCAGCCAGGCAGCCAGTCAGCCAGCAGTTCAGTTCATTATGTTGGTAGTGTATGCGACTTGAATTACCTGGCCGAGTGGCGGGCGGGAGAGCGGAGGACGGTAAGGGGATGAAGGAGAGGCAAGTGTTAGCAGGCTAGAGCTAGAGCTAGCTAGTCCAAGCAACCAACCCATTGTTACAACCGACTGCTAATTAACTCGGGAATACCATGGAGCTGCAAATTGTGCAAGCGCATGAAAAATGTCAGCTCAGCCAGTCAGTCAGGCAGTCAAGCAGTCAGTTGGTGCATCAATATGATCGAAGACCATGTGCGGTCCCGTTGCAAGCTACCGTGTGGATGGCCCGCCAATATCTGGGTGGTCCTGTCCATACAGAACCGATGACACGAACAAGACAGCCTGAACAGCTCGACCAGCCAGCCAGGCAGCCTTTAATGAATGAATGAACCGATGTGTCATTGGACAGGATGGAAGGCGTTGCTGATGATGCTGTTGATGATGGAAAACTAGTTTCCGGTGTGGTTGTAGTGGAGGAGCTTTCGCACTTTTCGTTAAATTTTTTATTTTATTTTTAAGCTAAGCTTTAATTCCATTTATTTTAATTATGGGACTGGAACTTCGTTTCCTGGCTATGTTTTTCATTTAATTTGAGAAATGAGAAGAAAATAAATAATCTTTTGTTAATATATTAAACAAAGTGAGTGACTAGTAATCTGCTAAAGCTATACTTGTATAAGTATTTATATTTTTAGAATAAATCGATAATTAAACTATAAGCGAAGACTAATAGATCCTTCCTGCAGGTTTATAGTAAGGAAGAATGAAATTAAAGCTCTAACGATTTCGAGCAGCGATATTTGATTTGTAGTCCTATAAATTAAACTTAAATTTGCGATACTAAACAAATATTGAAGACATTTAAATTTTTAAAATGTATACACCCAAACATATGTAGATACATAAGTATGTATGTACATTAAGTAAGGATATGTGAAATGGTCTACTAACTTGTTGCCCTTGCCAAAGCCACTGGACTGATAGAACGAAAGTCATGGTCTGGAATTTGGAATGAGTATGAGAGTTCGCTCATTCATTAGTGTTTAGTTTTTGGGTCTGCCCGAGAACTTTAATAAAAACGCACAGCTCTGCACAAACTTTGAACCTACTTATGGCCGTTTAAGTAGCACGCAACGCAATAAACCCAAATAATGACAAAAGTCAACGGCTGCCTTTCGCCATCTCGCTCTCTCGATGCCCGACTGCTGGATGTGAGAGCGGCACGACAATAAAATGCCTCAACAAATTGTTAAATGTGCCCACAACAAGTTCAAATGGAGTTTTGTGCGTGCGTATTTGGCAAATAAACGAAACGAAATTCAGGCCAACAATGGAGGGGAAAAAAAGGCAAACGCACAGCGTAAATAAAATGTGAAAACTCTAAGCACCACCCACAAGCAAGCAAAAGCAACAATACCAACAATGACAACGACAACAACAATGACAACAACAGTCACAACACCTACACAAATGTCCATGACGGTGACGGTGACGGGTACCGATGATAGAGAGACGGAGACACACGACGCGAAACTGAATACCACCCACCAAAGAGAGTAAAAAAGTCAGAGCGTGCGCCTTTAAGAGAGCATGCACGTACAAATAAGGTAAGAAGAATGAAGTAAGAGAGTAGCTTATCACTGGGACTCGATCCGAAGTCAATGTCATCTACAGCGTCGTGGAAAATCCAAAAAGTTACGGAAAGATTTCAAAAATGAGTCAAATTATATTGAGTGTGTTATTTTATGAATATGTAGATATTTAAATAGTAAATAACCTTTTCTACCCTGAGCATTAATTGTGAAGATATTCGAAAATGTAAATTAAAACTAACAGTGCACAACTTATAAAAAAAACCATCTGCTAATTAAATTGAATTTAATATTATACTAGGGAGATACATGCATACAAATTATAAAGATATTAAATACCAAGTTAATAATTGTAAATCATTAATGCATTTATTGTTTTAACAAAGCAATGTACTTCACTCTAACAGACCACATGCTCTCTTTCGACTATCACCTGAATTATGTAAGAAATCGAAACACCGCTCTTCGGCCGCCTTGCTGAACACAAAACAGTTGCATGCCTCTTTCTTTTTGACTCTCCGCCACATTC